GAAGTTGAGCCGCAATCATCCACTCTTTCTGCACAATATTGACAATTCAGGAGTTCTGCTCAGTTCAATTCAATTGACTGGAGCTGATAATTTCTCTGTATGGAGTCGAGCAATGAGAATTGCTATAATTGGTCGTAATAAACTTGGATTCATTGATGGTTCCTGCAAAAAGGACTCATATGGTCCAAATCTGGAGAATCTATGGGAACATTGTAATGCAATCGTCTTGTCATGGATCATGAATTGTGTTTCGAAGGAATTACTTAGAGGCATTGTCTACTCTACGAATGTTGTTGCTGTATGGAAGGATCTGGTAGAACGATATGACAAAATTGACGGATCTCGCATTTTTTAGCTGCACAAAGAGATTGCTACTGTCTGTCAAGGTACTAGCTCGATCTCAGCCTATTTCTCTAAACTGCGTGAAATATGGGTAGAGTATGATAGTATAGCTCCTGTCCCTCGCTGTGATTGTGTCAATTCAAGAGAATTTGTAGTGTTTATGAACAATCAAAAATTGCTTCAATTTCTTATGAGGCTTAATAACTCTTATGAGCAAGCTAGGGGACATATTCTAATGATGGTACATTTGCCTTCCATAAACAAAACCTACTCACTGTTGATTGAAAAAGAGAGCCAGTGTATCATATCTCAAACATCTAGTAGTTCTAGTTCGTCGGAGCTAAGTGCAATGTTTACAACTGGTAACAGTTTAGCCCATGTGACTAAGCCTAAGCCTTATACTAGCTCTAGCTATGATCCAAATGCCTTTTGTGACTATTGTAAACGAACTGGACATACTCAATGTGTGTGTTATAAACTACATGGATATCCTCCTGGTTATGAAAGGAAGAAGAAAGGTCCTAATAACTCCTATGGGAGAGGAAGGAATCCTAATGAAAGAAGACCATATCCAAATGCTCACAATGTGATTGGTGATGTTGATCTAGACTATGGCAGCAGTATGAATCAGATATCACAGGATTATGGCAGAGGTTCTAGGCAAACTGAACATACTGATTACCACAGAGGTATGACTGTGTTACATCAACAATATAATCAAATATTGAACTTACTTGGTCAATCTAATATACAGGGTGGCACTGAGGCACCTCCTCCTCCACACTCTGCCAACTTAGCTCAGGACAATCACTTTTCAGCAGGTAATGCAACTGTTCTAACAGCTAATTCTACACACACTGGTTGAATTGTAGACTCTGGTGCAACCAATGATATGACTCCTCACTTAGCTATGCTTGACCAGACTCCAAATTCCCATTGATAAACATAGGAGGGTACAGTTACCTAACGGTGATACTATCATCATCACACATACATGCTCATGTAATTTGACTTCTAAAGACATTATCAAAAATGTTCTTGTTGTCCCTGATTTTAAATACAATCTACTCTCTGTATCACAACTTACTAAAGACTTACATTGTGCAGTGTGTTTCTTTCCTGATTTTGCTATCATTCAGGACCTCTCTAGTGGGCAGGTGAAGGTGATTGGTAAAGAAAATGTTGGTCTCTATTTTCTTCCTGCTCCTAACTTCCACTCAGACAAACCAACCAAATGTTATTCTTCCTCAGCTCGAGATGCTGATCATGCAACTGAAGCTCAAATTTTGTTGTGGCATCAAAGGCTAGGTCACACTTCTTCCAGTGTGCTTTCCCATGCTCTTGATCTTCCTACCAGTCAGTGTTCCCAAGGAGATTCATAACTGTCTTGTTTGCCCTCTAGCTAAATAACATAGATTACCTTTTTCACATAGTACTTCTATGTCTTCATTGTCCTTTTCATTTGCTTCATATAGATGTTTGGGGTCCCTTTAATACTCCTACATATCATGGTAATAGATTCTTTGTTACCATTGTTGATGATTGTACTTGAATGTTGTGGTTGTTTCTAATAAAAGTGAGAAGTGATGTTTGTGTTGTCTTGAAAAACTTTTTCACCTTAGTTAGAACTCAGTTTAATGTTGTGATTAAAACCATTCGAACTGATAATGGCTCTGAGTTTGTCAACACTGAATGTCAAAGATTATGTACAAGTTTGGGCATTGTTCATCAGAGAACATGTATTCATACTCCTCAGCAAATTGAGATTGCTGAAAGAAAGCATAAACATATCCTTGAAGTGGCTAGGGCAGTCAAATTTCAAGGTCACATTCCACTAAAGTTTTGGGGACATTGTATTCTTGTTGCTTCTTATATCATCAATAGGTTGCCAACACATGTGCTCAATGACAGATCCCCTTATGAAGTTTTTCACAATATCAAACCTTCTCTTCATCATATGCGAGTTCTGGGATGCTTATGTTTTGCTAAGAATATGTATATTCATGACAAGTTTCAGCCTAGGAGTGTGACTGCCATTTATATGGGTTATAGTGCACATACTAAATGATATATTCTCTACAACATCACAGACAATGTTCTTTCTCAGTAGAGATGTGTTGTTCAAAGAGTCTATTTTTCCATTTGCTGCACCTTTCACTACTGCCTGGCATCTATTCCCTACAGCTACTACATCATTTGATGAATCCCATCCTGGTATTGTTGATCCAGTTGTTCCATCAGCACTTCCTATAGCTGTACCTGAGTCTGTGTCTGTGGTTTCTGATGTGAGAAGGTCTCAGAGAACTACCAAAGCCCCTTTGTGGTTACAAGACTATGTAGCATTTGCTCAGCTCAGTTCAAGCAACGCACTATATTCCATTGATAAATATATTGGTTATGATCACTTGACCCCCTTCTATCAGGCCTTTCTATCTTCCTTTGGTTCTGAGGTTGAACCTGCCACTTTTGAAGAGGCTTGTAAGGATCCTAGGTGGGTTAAAGCTATGCAGGCAGAAATTTCAGCTTTGGAGGCACATCACACCTGGGTGGTGGTCCCTTTACCTCCTCATAAGAAAGCTATAGGCTGCAAATGGATATTCAAAATCAAGTATCAAGCCTCTGGCTAGGTTGAAAGGTTCAAGGCTAGACTTGTCGCAAAGGGTTTTAATCAACAGGAGGACCTTGATTACAAGGAAACATTCTCCCATGTTGTCAAAATGGTGACAATTATGAGTGTGTTGGCCCTTGCAGCTACTGAACATTGGCATATCCATTAGATGAATGTATCAAATGTCTTCCTTCAAGGTGACTTGCTTGATGAGGTGTATATGGCCCTTCCTTAAGGTTTTCTACTTCCTAAGGGATTTACTGTGCAGGGGGAGAAACCAGTGTGTAGGCTCACTAAATCTCTGTATGGACTAAAACAAGCTCTTAGACAATGGAATGTGAAACTCACAGATGCACTTATTAGACTTGGCTTTGTTCAAAGTCATTTGGATTACTCATTGTTTATCAAAAGGGAAGGAACCTCTATGGTTCTAATTTTGGTATATGTTGATGATCTGATGGTTATAGGCAATGATCTTAGTCTCATTCAACATACCAAAAAAATATTACAGGATACATTCAAAATGAAAGACCTAGGAGATCTCAAATATTTCCTTGGTATTGAGTTTGCCAGATCACAAAAAGGAATTATAATGCATAAGAGAAAATACACTCTTGAAATCATATTTGAAGTTGGTCTTGGTGCTGCTAAACCAGCTTTAACTCCTCTTAATCCATATGTACAGTTAACTACCAAGGAGTATGATGAACAAAATGGGACAAACAAGGAAGATAAACTACTTGAAGATTCATCAGTTTATAGGAGATTAGTTGGGAAACTGTTATATCTAAATGTCACTCGACCTAACATTACATTTGCTACACAGACACTAAGTCAATTCCTACATCAACCTAAGCAATCTCATCTTAAAGCTGCTCTTAAAGTAGTCAAGTACATCAAAGGTAAAGCAGGACTGGGTGTGTTGTTTTCCAGCAAGAACAACAACCACCTAAAAGTCTACTGTGATTCAGACTGGGGGGCATTACACACAAGAAGATCAGTTACAGGATTTATGGTGAAGCTGGGCGAGTCTCTCATATCATGGAAATCCAAGAAACAAGAAACAATATCGCAAAGCTCAGCTGAAGCTGAGTATAAGAGTATGGCAAGTGCAATAGCTGAAGTGGTCTGGATAGTGAAGTTGTTCAAGGAATTAGGAGCTGAAGTTCAAACTCCAGTTACTATCTATAGTGACAGCAAGTCTGCAATTCAAATTGCTGTCAATCCAGTTCTACATGAAAGAACTAAACATATAGAACTGGATTGTCATTTCATAAGAGAGAAAATCCAAAATGGTCTAGTTCGAACTGAGTATTTGCACACCAAGGAACAGGAGGCTGACATTCTCACAAAGGGACTGGGCAAGAGTCAACATGATTATTTGATGTCCAAGTTTGGTGTACTGAATTTGTTTATACCTACAAACTTGAGGGGGAGTATTGAAGAAGGCATTACATAGTTAGTTACAATATAGTTAGTTAGGATCAGTTTGTAAATAACAGAAGTTAGAGGACCAGCTAGTAAGGAGTGAGTTAGATTAGTTACAATAGTATTGTTCTCATTGTATAAATATACAGAGCTTCCAAGTTTATGTTAATTAATTCAATTCATGAAAAGTAGATACATCTGGGTTCTTTCTCTCTACATCTGAGAACATTCTAGAGCAACATGAAGTGTTCTTCAAGCTATCTTCATCAAGATAGCTAACAACTTGTCACCTCTCATTAGCAACAAACATGCCCAGTACTACTTCTCGAATTGTAACTTTGCAATCTGCCAAATTATAATGTGATCAAAACATTGAAATTTGGATAATTTTACACAGCCAGCACCCAGCAGTCAGCACACTGTATCTTAATTACAGAGTCAAAACACATTCAATCTTAAAATAGAGAGTACACATTATGAAGATTCGAAATCCATCTAAGAGAAGAGCTACACTACTACAAGGGTCTAACCATATGTTTCGAGTTTGAGTTCCCCGATAAAAAGTCTCCCTTGTTAGAGAGCGTTTGACCTCAGAGACTTTTAAATACGAATTCAGATTTAGTCAGGCTCTAAAATTGTCCAATTGGATACCGAACACGGTGAGAAACCTTGTTTGTTCCCTCTGTTTCATAATGAACTCATTGGATCCTGAGTTACTGAACATGATGTCCAGCTGACCGAATTGCTGGACCGTCCAATCCACCATGGCTTTCACTTGATTTTCATCACTCACCTCGCATTGCACGTAGCTCCAAATCTGTGAAGGGATGGATGCAGCCACAGGCTCTGTTTTTTCATCTTGGATGTCGGCTATGACAACGGACTGTGCGCTGTGTATGGCAAAAAGGCGTGCTGTTGCTTCCTCAATTCCACTGGCACCACCAGTCACTATCGCCACTTTGCCTTTCAGCTTCCGCGATTTTTGTTTCGATTTGTGCTGTTCCTTGTATCTTGTTACTTGAGAATGGAAATATCTTCCTAAACACTTGGATCAAATATTTGGAGTTGGAGTAGGTGGCCTAATTAAGCAGCGCCATAAGTTTGATACCTCAGCGAAATATCTTCCTAAACACTTGGATCAAATATTTGGAGTTGGAGTAGGTGGCCTAATTAAGCAGCGCCATAAGTTTGATACCTCAGCGAAATATCTTCCTAAACACTTGGATCAAATATTTGGAGTTGGAGTAGGTGGCCTAATTAAGCAGCGCCATAAGTTTGATACCTCAGCGAAATATCTTCCTAAACACTTGGATCAAATATTTGGAGTTGGAGTAGGTGGCCTAATTAAGCAGCGCCATAAGTTTGATACCTCAGCTCCAAGCTAGCCAATAATTGCAGGTAAGATAAGGAGGCTGCAGTCACAATCATAGTACAATTTTTTTTGATAATTTAATGGCATACAAAAATGCTTTGCGGATATGTCATCCACATGTAGTTCTGTTGAGTGACCTCATTTATTTCATCAAGTTTAATTAAAGAACTTTCTTCGGAGAGACAAGGAATTCAGTAGTGATACAAATTTCTCCAAATATTCTAGAGAAGGTACAGAGTAATTGCATGCAATTTCAAACTCTTAATATCAGGTCTTACAACTTATAAGAGTAGCATCCAGTTCAGTATACAACATATAGTTCAAAATTGTCAACTGAATTCCAACTACTATCTATCTGATCTCAAGTGCTCTAGGACTCATACCTGCATATCTCCTAAATGTGTACCTTAACAAGAGCAACGTCATGGAGTATACTTGAGATAAATGTTCCTCCTTCCGCATCTGATTCTCAGACTTATAGTGTCCTTGGTGGTGCAAACTTCAAATTCATACTAATACAGATTCATAAATATATCATCGGTTACAAAGTCAGGTAAACTTACCAACTAAACTGTGTACACTATGTTACAAGGAGCTGTTGCTAAGGGAGTTCAACTGCTATCCTCCTCAATTATTTTTATCAAATGAGAACTAACCAGTAATGGTATTTGCACCTCTTCTGTGAACAAAATTATTGTAGAAGTTTCTTGTCCGAAAGAACAAAGCCAAGGCCACAAGAGCCCCAAAGAAAGTGGAAGCTGCCATGATAAAGAAGGATAACGTGAAGCAGTGAGTTCCAGTACACATGTTCCCTTCATCTGATGCTTCCTTATCGTAGAAGTATCCGACAACCCAAACAGACAGTATATAAGATCCTACAGGGCCTGCTACGGTTATGGTGTTAAATATTGTTCCCAGATGCCCTGCACCAAATATCTCAGAAGCAATTGTGGGCATTAGTGACCACTGTGATCCATAACAAATGCCAACTATAACAGAGCCTGCATACAAAGCACCAGGCAGACCAGATGCTATCACAGCATGGCCAACAGTCATACTAGCCAGAGTAACAACAATAAATAATGGCCTTGACCAACCTAGCGACCGCAAGAAATAATCTGAAATATAACCTGCTCCAAAGCGACCAAGAAAATTCCAGATACTCCATAGAGAAACTAAAGTATTCGTCTCTAAGATAGTGTACCCAAGTGACCCTCCTATCTGGCTAATGTTATTAACTGTGGCCAGCCCTGTGCCCATTCCACATGCAGTGGTGACAAACAAAAACCAAAAACCAGTGGTGCACATTGCCTGAAAAAGATTCATGTTTTCCCCCCATTCTGGAGTCCTCCTCTCATTCATATCTCTCCCTTGATCAGCACCAGCAGGCAACTCCTCATAGTTTCCATGACTTTGCCCCATGTCCACAAAATATGCCTGAGATCTATGCTGCTCATCCTCCGGTGAGTTTTGCTCGAGTAAGTATTTAATTATTCTATAAGACTTTTCCTTGTGGGCACTGATCGCAACAGAAATCGGGGAAAGCAGCAAGAAAATGAGTATAGTAAAAGTAATGATGCGAACGGACAGTTGTAAAGAGAAGATGTTTCCCACAATGATTTCAGCCATGAGATAAGAAGCCAGTACCAGAGCAATCAATGATAAACCATTAAGATGCTTCTTCTCATCATCTTCATTTGCTTGCGAGATTGTTACGAATGACATAAGTAACAGAGTAGTAATAGGAGGCAACAACGCCAACAACAGAAGATATGCAGTGGGCCTGTTTCTAAAGATTGTCTGATATACTTGAATTAATATTGCTCCACTCAACCCGAGAAAACCCTGCATAGAATTATGGAAATTAAATCAAATGTCCAAATAGGGGACAAGGGAAGGTAGCTAAATTGAAATCAATATACCACAAAAAAGATTAGCATCACAAGCCTTCTGAGATTCCAACTCTACTCCCTGATCTCTATGATCTTTCAATTTTACTTTGAGACTTGGTGCTGAAATCAAAGGAATGCCAATTCCTTCTATATTATGAAGAGGAGAAGATACAATTAACTTTGTGAACGACTTAGTCAGTCGCCTTCTTTAGTTAATATTTTGGAGGTCAAAGAGATGACCATCCACAGTATCATTTGATTGACTATGCATCAATCTATACCTATCCCTACATAGACAGAAAGTTTCTAACCTTATGTAAGCGTAATAGCACTTATCGCTACATAGATATAAAGTCTCTAACCAGAACAAAAATGAATTAAGAGAATCTTAACAAACAGAGAGCCTTATGTAAGCATAATAGCACCAACAAAAACAACAAAACCAAGTTTCAGTTGATATCACCTCAATAAATCATTTGATTCCTTTTGTTCTGTGATTAGTTAAATTTACATTGATTTATAAAGATTATAGGTCTTTTGAGACAGCTACTTCCATACAATTTCAGATCTAGCTCATTGATTTCACCAATCTCACTACCACATCTAGTCATCATAGCATCTATAAACAATACATATGAAGGTCCACTTAAGAAATGACCAAATAATCCCAGGCCACCTTCTCACTTTATCATCTACATGTCTGCACTCTTGTAGCATGTTATCATTTCTAGTTCTATCCGATGTATGTGTGCTACTTGCAATCTTCATCAAGTGTGATCATTTCTATTTTTATCAAATTTATTATGCCCGAAATCTATCTTCACACCCGCATTTCTACGATTTTCATCTTGAGAATATGTTTACATTTATAGTCTTGCAAACATTCTATAAGACAAACCTTTCATTTCGTTTGCTTCTTCCCAATGTGTGACAATCATATTGCACTCCTCAATTTAAGTCGGTTTATTTCAACTTTATGTGTTACATCTTCATCTATCAAACCATTCTATTGGAAGATTGAATGTCCATATCAAAATAATCTGCATTGAGGCACCACAATCCATCTAATCTCATTTCATCCCAATTTCAATCGGGGCCTAAATTCTTATTGCACATATCCTATCTCACTCACATTTTTTTTATTTTTTTATTTTTTGAAGTTTTTTGGGGTAATACTTCAATTTATCATCCCACTCACATTGGGTTATTAATCTACCACTTTATATTAGTTGTTCTAATTGATTGATAAGAATACATGAAAATGAAGTCCATTACAAAGCTTACAACTTGTATAAGCATAAAATTGAAGTTGACAATAAAGCTTGCAACTTAAATAAAAAGTTTGATTTTAAAACTTGTCAATAATTTCTTAAAAGTAACGCAATTAGACTTGCTCAAATTAGAGGGATTGAGAAACGAACCTTCATGATGCCAACAATGGTGCCTCTATAATTAGGGAAATTGTGCACAGCAGTAACAACGTTTGCCGTATTGAAGAAAGTCATAGCATGAGCAGCTAAAAGCATATAGAGGCACATAACCCATAAAGGGGGTTTAGGTAGAAGCCCCATAACGGTCAACCACATAAGATAATACCCAGCAAAGCACTGAATAGCTCCGGCAAGTAGCACCACCCATGGCCCACCACAACGGCGGCGGCGACCGGTGACTGATGAATAAAGTAAGCCGGAAAGTATGCCGACATTAGCGCCGACATCTTTGAATACGGAGACGACATTGAGGGATGATTGATCGTATCCTTGGGTAGATTTGAGAATGGAAGAATAAATGGCGAATGTGTAGAGTGAACCGCTGGTACATTGGATCCATATACTAGCGACTGTAGCTACCCATTTGGTGTTGATCTTGGCCTTAAAACTGGGATTGTAATCTGGGTCTAAATCCATTTTTACTGATTTTTTCTTCTTCTTTCTTTTGGTTGATGAGTGATCTTCCAGGAATTATTCGACGTGTTCTTCACCACTACTTTCACATTTTCTGATTTCGTCTTATATTTTGAGTTGTTTTCATTTTTGGGATTTCGTCTTCGTGTTCAGTGTTTACGGTTTGGGAATTTCGTCTCTTAACTCTCTATGTTGAGTGTTTACTCTGGCTGCCACGTGTACATAAATAAATACACTAATTTATGTATGCCAGGTTAGGAATACTAACCTGTTCAGGTTGTGATTTGACACACTCCCTAACTATTATATTAACGCTAAACATTATAAGTCATTTCACTTATAAAAAACGATTTGAAAATAATTACCTTTTCCTTTAGTGTCAATTTGTTTGTCTTAATTTAGTGCTTTTTTTTTAATAAAAAGAATTTATTAATTCATTAATTTTTAACTTTTCATCTACATTAAGATCATAAAATTAAAAAATATTTAGTACATTCTTTTCATATGCAGGTGATTCTTTTTTCAATGGATCATACACAAAATAATACTGATTAAATAACAAATGACAGTGAGATCAGTTGGCTTTCTGAAAAATTCCCGAAGTAAATGCATAATCTTCGTTTTTGTTTTTTCAATTCCTGTAAGGGAGCACTATAAGGCAACAAACCAAAACACGAACCACAAGAAGTCACAATTATGCACAATATCTACAGTTTGCTGCATCCCAAATTCCTAGTTTCCCAAAAAAAATTAAGAAACAGATACAGAATAGCAACTGTACTCTGCAAGGATTTGATACAAATACAGAAACCTTGGCCAAAATTTATGCCAGACCTTTCAGTGCCTTGCAACCTTGTGATCAGATCAGCACAACATGAGCACACGAGAATAGAACCTTCTTGTCCTATAAAACAATGCCAAGGCAACTACAACTCCAAAAAGACTTACTGATGCTAATATGAAATAAGATAACATGAAGCAGTGAGTACCAAAGCATGAATTTCCTTCTCCTGATGCCTCTTTGTCATATATATAGCCGATTACTCTGACAGAAAGAACATAAGAGCCCACTGGACTAGCTATGGCGATTGTGTTGAAAATTGTACCCATATGGACCACACCAAATATCTCTTTACTTATGGTAGGCATCAATGACCACTGCGACCCATAGCAAATACCTACTAGCAGTGAACCCACGTATAAATTTCCGCGAAAACCTGAAGCGATAATCACATGGCCACCAGTCATTACTGCTAGAGTATAGACCATGAATAATGGCCTTGGCCACCCTCTCCTGAGCAGAAATATATCTGATACATATCCAGCTCCAAGACGGCCAAGGAAATTCCATATACTCCAAAGTGAAACTAATGTACTTCTTGCCAATGTTGTGTAACCAAGTGATTCCCCAATCTGGCTGATGTTATTTATCGTGGCCAGTCCTGATCCCATCCCACATATCATCGCGACAAATAGAAGCCAAAAGTCTATGGTGCACATGGCTTGCCACAAATTTTTTTGTTCATCAGGCTGCAAGATAGAGCTAGCCTTTCGCTGGACTGTATCTGTTGGCACTTCATCATAATCCATAATATTCTCAACAGCCAATTTATCAGAACTCTCCCATTCAGGTTCATCTATCAATAGAGAGGTAGAAGATGTGACT